AGCAGGGGACTGGTGTGAGAAAGAAGGAGCTGCAGAGAGGAACAATTATGGACTGACCTCAACCCCCCATTCCCCATGCCCTGTGCTGCTGGGCAGTGTGGAGGAGGTGGAGGAGTTGGGAATGTAGGAGTGAAGCTGAGTCTGGGGAAAAAAAGAGGAGGGCGAGATGTTTTTGTTTCTCACCATCCAACTCTGTTTTAATTGGCAATAAATTGAATAATTTTTCCCCAATTTGAGTCTGTTTTGCCTGTGATGATAATTGGGAAGTGATCTTCCTGTCCTTATCTTGACCCATAAGCTTTCTTGTCTTATTTTCTCCCTGTGGACTGCTGAGGAGGGGGAGTGAGAGAGTGGCTGGGGTGGGTGTCTAGCAGCCAGCCAAGGCCAGCCCACCATGCTACTGTAACAACTGTGTTTTTAAATAAAAAGCTGAGCTGTTCTCAGTTCTTAGAACTTGGTCTTGTAAGCACCAGCTTTTAGTGGCAGTTCTAGGATTGTGGACCTCAGCTAGCTGGAGCTGTCTCTCTGCAGCCCTGCAAAAGGTGGTTGAGGAGCCTTATGCCTCTGCTGTGTTTTCCTGCTGGCTGACTCCTGATAACTCCATGCTCACTGTAAGCTACTCCCTAGTCAGTCACTTGCCAGGTTTTGGATCCATTTTTGAAATGCTGGTCTCCTCCCTAGGCTATATAACACGTTCAGCATTAAGAACCCTGGAGACTTAGAAGGACCAAATATTTCTCATTTATCAAATAGCCAGTAATTTGTCAAAATTTTTATGTGCTTCATGTAAAGGCAAACTGTGTTGCTTCAGGAGGTCTGACCACCTGCACTGCACCCAAATTACTGCATAATTTTTTCTGTCATTCCTGTGTCCTGTCTTTCTCTACCACAGCTGGGCATGCGTGGCACAATTTAATAATGAACCTTCATCCACTCTCCCTAGCTCCTTCTAAAAATATATTAATGTATTTTATTGCTCAACAGTAGGGCTACATTTCTGTGAAATTTTCCCTCCTATCCTCCAGTCTAGTGCAGAATGAGAGGTTAGACTACACTATGTATTGAATTTGGATGTTACAGCTGAAATTATAAGGGCTCTGAAATGGTCTCCAATTTTGCCTACATATTTTTATTTCATAGCTTCTTATTCTTTGCCTTTCTAGGGTGAAAAAGACCTGTTTTTCTTTCTCTCCCTTTTCTATCTCCTTGATCATTCTTGTCATGCTTTTATTCTGCAGTATCTTTCTGTTTAAGAGAAGGACTAATAGTGTTTGAGATAAGTCCCCACTGTTGTTTCATGGAGCAGTTTTAATGTTCTTTGTGTCATTAGCACTTTCCATGTATATACATCCCTTCACCTTGTTAGCTATTGTGTCAGCAGGCTTGCCCTGCACTTAGCAGGCCATCTCACCAAGTTGTGTATACGTAGTGTTCAGATTCCTTTTCTGAGAGTGTATGGTTAATTTGGGAGCATATATATAATGTAGGTAGTTTACATGCTTTTCTCCTGTAGCAATTGATTTCCTTTTGCCTACGTTGCATGTCACTTGCCATCAAATTGAGAGATTGATCTAGTTGACGTGGATCACTCTGAATTTCCTTGCACTCCTCTTTTGTTGCTCTTGCCCATAGGACTTCTTGCCATCCTGAGATCTTCTTGTCTCACTGCTCCATTTTGTCAACGTCATTAATGAGAAGTTTCCCTGTGTAATGCTGAGGAATATTGTTCTTAACCTTTTGTAGTGGTAAAGGTGACTGTTTAATCTCCTTCTTGCTTTCTGTCTTCTAAGAAGCTAATTTTTCATCAAAAATAGTGTTTGGTTTCATATCCTATGATCTATTTTGGTTTTTTTATTGGCATAACTTTTGGAAGTCTAAATAAGGTATGCAACTGTTTCCTGTATTCAGGAAATACAGGCAACTGGCATACTCAGACCATTCCAGGAGATTATCTAATTCCAGTATCTGTTAGTAGTGTCTAATTCCAGACTAGTAGTATCTAATTTCAGGAGATTAGTAACACCTGGAGAAACCATGTCAGTTTGTACTGTACTTAATGGTTTTTAAGCAAATTTCAGGAACTGATGCAGAGATGACAGGTCTGAAAATCCGTACATCACACCTGCAGCTTTTGAAATATAGAAAGGTGTTGTTCCCTACTCTCCAGAGAAGAGCAGAAGCAATGTGTCTTTTCGGTGAGATACTACATGTTGTTGCCAGCAAATTATCTACATAATCTCTAGACTTCAGAAGGTTTTTATTATCTCATACTTTTGTTGGAGATTATAAACCAAGTAAACCTTGTTTAAGAACTGCTGTTATTGCTGTGTTAGGTGGCAGAACTAGTCAAGATCCTAACTCAGTACTAACTTTGTGTTGGAAATAAATCCTTAGAAAAAAGTTAATGCTTTGTTACTTATCTTATGAATCATTCTGTTTTTCCCACTGTCAAGCCTTGAAGTAGAATGAAGTGGAGGTTTCATGAGGGTGTGTGGGGAATACATCATGCTGTTCAGTGGAAGAGTGACAATTTATTCCTCCCTTCTGCAATGTGATAGAGAGTTCTGTTTTGATTTATATATAGATGTGTGTGTGTGTATATATATGTGTGTGTATATATATATTTGCCTGAGCTTTAAAGAAGAGGAGGGGCTATGTGGAGCATCCTATGTGGAGCAGTAAAATCCAAGCAGCTCATGCCACCTTACTCTTAAAAGTTCTTTTGTGAGACTGAGTAGAGCTCAAAGCAGTGGAAATTAAATAGGTAGCGAGAGTAACTATTAGTAGGAAGAGGCAATTTGGTACTGTGCCTTACTTTCTGTACGTGCATAACAATTGGTGTTATTGTTATGGATTATTATATAACAATTCATCAGCAGGGAGCATGCTGCTCTGTTTTTAAATGAAGCAGCTGTGACACTCTGGCTACTGCCTTATAGCCTCCCATTGTAACTTCAAGTCTTGGAACCTGGGCAGTGAGACAGAGTGTAAATTGTAGGCTACTTTTGCAGATTTTGGTAAGCTGAACTTTGAAGAAATCAGTAATAATAGAAGGAAAAATATGTTTTCTTCTTACCTTGAGTTATATTCAAATATATGAGAAATGGGAGTTACCTTAATACTCACTGTTACAGCAAAATAAATGTTCTAATCACCAAAGCACTATTGCATATCATCTAATTCTTTGTTACAAGGTATGTAATGGAAGCAGAAATTATAACTAAAAAATTATTAATGAAAAATTTTCCTGGAAATGATGAATTTTTGGCATCATAACTGCTTTGAAATGTATTCATTTGGCTGTTTAATTTATTAATAACAGTGTTTGTTTCTCAAAAGCTGAATAATTCTAAGAGAAATCATATTAATTGATATTTATAATGGATATACATTAACAGAAACATAGAAATAATTTGGCAAATGTTTTTTGAACAGACAAAATTGATTCCTTTTGTGAGACTGTTCCAGTTAACATTTTTATATGTAGTCATGTTTTTAGCATAAATTACCTGCACTTTAGGAATTAATTCTTCTGACTGAACATTCAAATCTGAGAGCAGGTTGAAAGACCCCGGGTTTTTTTGGTATCAATGTGTCGTAGAAGTGCCCATTTTTTCCCCAGTAAGCCTTAAGTTAACCAGTATGTACAGGGCTCAGTCTAAGATGAGACACAGGTATACATCAATTGACTTGCACTGAGGTAAAATTAGAAATGGGTTATACTAACCAGATTTCCAGGTGTTAAATGATGCCCTAGGGCTATTCCTAGACTAATTTAATTCTTTCTGGATGCAAAAATGAAGTTAATCTATTTTATAATTAGCAATATATTAAATAATTTAAAAGGTAATATATGATTCCCTTTAGTTCTCTGTGAATTATGAGTAAATCAGGTATCTGTTTTTTAAGAAACTGAATGCATAACATATACCTAATAATGGATTGTGAGCTTTGCTTCAGGAATAATTCAGGGCACAATGTTGTTTTCTGTAAGATCTGTATTTCATTTGCTGATAAAGCTGAATGTTTTGTGGGCAGTGAGACAGAGGATTACAGGTGAAAAAGGGAGAGTAGATGGCCCAAGGTAGTTCAGTGATCTCAAAATAATTTAATTCTAGTCATATCTCAAACAAAAAAGGTTCCTGAATGGAATTTAAAAAAAAGAATTCAAAATTCAAAACTTTCACTGACAGTCTTTCAGTCCCTCATTTTTAGAGACAATTGTCTTGAGTCTTAAAGCCTGTTTAGTGTGCATAGATGTGATATGAATTTGACTTACTAATTTGCTAAGTCATTGAAGGCCAAATCTGGAAAGGAATTTAGGTTAATTTCCTGAATCTTGTAGGGGCTGGACTGCTAAATACGTTAGCAGAGCTTGTCTTGAAGCTTTATAACAAAAATGACATCTGGAGATAAAGGGAAAAACCCTAGTATGTGTTTAGTGCAGGGTTTATATAATACAAAATTAATGCATAGCATATATTAAGATGAGGGATACATTTCATTAATTATCTGTTTGGTTAATATGCATTTTCAAAATAAAAAACTTAATAATAAATTAGATAGAATTAGCGCAAGGGGATGAACTTAAAGTGGAATGGGTTGTCCTAGCACATGTATTACCTGGCTTTTTTAGGTTGGCTTTCTGACTGTAATCTTTTAATGAGATTTTAAATGCAATTTCACTATGTATAATAGCTATGACAGTGTAGGGATTCAGAAAGCCCTGAGACTAAAAAGAATCTAGTGTCATGTAACCCTTTTCTTTGGTCATGATTAATTGTCTTTGTTGCACTTTTACTAGCACTTTTTTCTGTCTAGTGCAAGTAAATCAAGAAACAGGTATCATATTGTGTATGTAAATATCACTGGCTATTCTTTAAATAGTTGAATTTGCTTCTTGCTGTTCCATTGTTTCAATAAATCACTCTTTTTAAGTACTGAACACATTTATTTTGCAGCCTTCACAAAATGTTTTTTTTTTTTTCCCCCTCTTCCAGCTGTCATTTAGATGTTGATATGTAAAGCAAAATGGCAAAAATCAACACCCAGCACTCCTATCCTGGTATACACAGACTGTCTGTCAGATCTACCGACGAAGATATTGAAAATGGCTGTATCAGGTAATATATTTCTTTCATCACTGTCAAGAGGACAAATTGCTGGATAATCTGTGGCACTCCTCTAGCTCTGCATTATGAGAGTGTTATATCATGATATTGTTGACCTAGTGCACTTAACTGACTTAACGATATATATCCAAAGTACAGAAGAGACAGAAACAGAAAGGTTGTCATGGTTTGCAGTTTTAGAACCAAAATCTGTATTACCTCAGGAATAAACCCTTTTTTCACATCAGTGGGAATTATACCAACTCATTAAGGAGAAACCTCTTTCTCAGGCCACCATGCAGATAGCAGAGTCTGTGCTTCCCCCAGTCTGTGGGATTTGGAGAAAAAGGGGTCCTCCCAGTGCCATGCAGTGAAAAGCCTCAGGAAGTTGTGGGTTTTTATTTTTTTTTTTTTAAAGTAGTTTCTGCAAATTGCCTAGTTCCTGTGACAGGGAACACTTGTGGTATATAAAGAATATGGACATTTTTGTACTGGCTTTTCAGAGCCTCTCACTGTACAGTGGGACTGTAACAGTTTCTTTACATTCAGCTTTCTCTGTTTTGATAATTTTAAAGTGGCTGTTTAAAATGTGCCAGTGAGCTTGCACTTACATTTTACACAGTACCAGTCACTTGTCTAATCTGGGCAAACCCTACTGGGCCTGCGGGAAAGTGTCTGATGATCCACAACACCTGTACAGACTGGAAAAAGTGTTCTGCTTTTGGCTTGGTACGATCAACCGGCTTGGCTCTGGGGTCATTGTCAGCCTGTCTCTTGCTCTTCACATGTGTACCCAGATTAGAGCACTCAAAACCCTGCTGGGCTGATAGGACTGCCTGTGTTATGATAATTTTGGACTGCATGTCCCTATCTTCTAGTGTGATGTGATCCTTGTCTCTTTTGAATTGGTCCTTTTTTTCTTTCTGCTTTGCCTATGTGATACCTTCTCTCACAGAGCTGTACCTACGCTAATGCGAATGGAGCTGTTTTTATTCTGCACTGGTATGGCTTGCTCGACTTTGTTATACTTCCCCATGGTCTCCTTAGGGAGATTTGCAAGAGCCGTGTCCTTTTGTCTCCATTTACAGTGGTATCTCAGAAACAGGGAAGACACAGATCGAAATGAGCCTCTTCCTTTCCTTTTTTCAATGTCCTTTTTGTAGAGGCTATCAGTGATTGGCACCTCACAGAATAGAATTACTAGCAGGGTTGTGAGAGTGCAGTTATAAAGGTTTAAATGTAGAATTAAATCACTGCAGTCATCTCCAGTTTCAGAGGCAATGACTTGCTTATGACAGATAGAGGGACTGAAATATGAATTGCACTTTATCATGATGATGATAGTCTTGAAGAGGCATTTATTTAAAAGAGAGTTTGCTGTTACTAGCATTAATTACAGGAGTTCATAGATGAGTAAAAAGATACAGTTTGGATTGCTGAAATGATTGTAGCAAGAATGGACAATACCTTTGTAATACCACTCAAAGAATTCTGATACACGTTTTTTAAATTCAGTTTTGTCTGTACCAAAATATAGATCCCATCCAAAATTTTAGCCCTTCTTGCACTTGCTAGCCTTGTAGCAAAATATACAACTGTAGACACTGGAAAAAACCTGGGTTTTCTAGAGTAGCAGCATTTCTCCTTTGCTTTTATCTTACTTCAACTCCTGTTGCTATAGTTCAACAAAGCAATTAGGCACATTACTTAGTTCTCATTAAAGTCAGTGGGTGTTAAATTTATGCTTAATGCGAAGGATGTGCTTAAGTGCTTTTCTGCTGTGAAATAAGGTATTATCAAGGAAAAGTATTTACTGAAACAGTGAGCAGAAAGCTGCTGGTGATCTTTAAACTGTCATTATTCTCTGTTATGCTGAAGTAGGTGATTTATGTGCCCATATTCTTATAGTGTAGTGTGTGAAGTTGGTCCATTTTGTTAAAACAAAAATTAACAAAACAAAATACAACAAATGAGTCCTCATTTTTAAAATCCAGCCTCTCTGTAGAAACAGCTCAAATTGGACAGGCAGCACATTAGCTTATAGACACAGTTTGGCTATCTAAAAGTTGGAAGTAGGATTCAGCTGTGCCTTGTAGACATCTGAATTTCAGTTGTCTTTATGTGAGTAAGTTTCTAAGTTCCTGCTGTCACCAGTGGAGATGTAGTCCGTACTAATAGTCAGTGATGCCTAGGGAACTGTTCAGCTTAACCTGAAGTTGAACAGCTCTTCAGGCTCATTTGGCTGTGTTGAATATGAGACGTATTTAGTTGCCTAAAATAGGCATCTAAAGCTATTTGAGATACCATAGAGTATCTGAAGCATTTAGCTGGGGCTAATGGATATGAGGCAAGACCTGTGTGCTCTGGAGGGGTCAGATAAAGTATTTTGAGGTAATCCAAATGGTACTAGACTTCTATATTGAGGCAACCGAATGAAGTCCTAAAATGACAATAGACTGTAATGGGAACTTAGATATTCAGCTTATATTAGACACCCTAATTTAGGTCACTGCTACCTGGAGCCAAATGCCACCCTTGAACTCTGACTTGTAGTCATTACTCAAAAGGGCTTCAGCAATTCCTGTTGAACTGATAAGTACTTCAAAACAGTTACTACTAAAAGAAAATTCAGGATTATTTGCACGCATTTTAGGTGAAAATGGTCTTCTAGGGTTTGCTTGAAGATCTCTGTGCAAATGTAGAGACAAGTTAAGTCAAGGCAAGGGACAGGTACAGAGCAGGTGCTGATGTAAATATCCTTAACAGAGGTTATTCCACTAGATATCTCAAAAGCGTGGGAATAAGTTGGCCTTTAAAGAGCTGAAGAGGCAAGGAGCAGAAACATCAGTGTCAATGAGTTTTCTCTAAGATACAGTGACATTACTATTGCTGTGGAAATAAAATATTTTTCAGCATAACCTGAGGAGGCACAGTCATCTGCTGATGTTTCTGCTTTGTATCCTGCTCCCTATTTCTTGGCACACTGTGTATTGTCTTCTCATGTTGCTTTCAGACCATGTAACACTTTTGGATAGTAATGGCAATGGTTACTGTTCTGCTGCAGATGCCAATCAACCTTACAGAGTCTAGATGGGAATGAGTCTGTCTTTGTAAAAAAAAAAAAGTAAAAACTATGCCACATGCATTGAGGGTGTTACGTCAAAAGCTGAATCTGAAGCTGTCCCTCTGCATCAGTATAAAGCCAGCTGACAAATAAGGCTGGTTATATTATCTGAACAGGGTTGAGGAAAATAAGGAATGAGTATATATCAGTTTTATAACAGGCAGTTATTATAAGGAGTTATAATAATAATGGAAGGAAGAGTTCATTTTAGATTTACTTTTTTATTTGGATTTGTGTGAATTGAAGTGGAATATGTTTGTGATTGATGTGTAGTATCGGACAGGCTCTTTCATAGGAGTTGCCTGGCGGAGTCCTTTCTGTATTGTTTTCTGATCCTGTTGCAGATACACATAAGCTGTATTTGTAAAAGTGAAATGCAAGCACTTTAGTACTGTTTCCACCAAATGATCTTGATTCTCCCTAACTTCTTTTTAAGGTAAACCTGAATTTATTTACAAATTGTTATATTTAGTTATAACATAAACCTAGTTGTAGAAATTATTGATGCACAAATAGAGTAATCAGAAAATTGTTTTTTAAAAACAGCCAAGCAAACAAACTAAAAATATAGACTTCAAAATTTCACTAGTTGAGTCCATAATCACCCCAATTTAATTCCAGCAGTTGAATTTGAGAGTTTTGCCTTTTTTTTCCTACAGAATACAAATTTTTCAGTGAGTGTGTCTGATCACTTATTGGTAAGAATCTGACCAGAGAGTAGTTTAAATAATTTGAAATTTTTAATTTGTTTTTTGGGACTCTGGATCAGATTGGAAGGTGTTCAGATCAGGTCACAGTAAGCACACCATTTTCTTTCACCTAGTTTAAAACTTTTCTTCAACAGACTTCTGGTTCTAGACACCAAAAGCCATACACTGGACTGAAAACATTGGGTTGTAGAGGGTGCTGCTAAGGGCTCTGTAGCTAGTGGTAGCAAGAGGACAGGCAGTGGGTAGATGTTATGGATGCACAAAATATGATGAGCCTGTGTAGGGACAGTGGAGCACAGCTTTCCACACTGCTGAGGATAATGGAGGTGATGATCATGCACACGAAGCACTTAACAGATTATGTACTTAGCAAGTATGACACTGTGCTGGTAAGTGGAGCTAGTCGGACAGTATTGCTTTTGGTACCTGATCTAGCTTGTTTAGAGCTCACTCAGCTATCTCTACACTGTTCTGCATTGCTTTCCTAGGCATTTACTCAAAATGGAGCTGAGCTCTTCATTCTTAGCCTTTTATTTGTTGTCAGCAGATGCCCAAGCACAGCAATGCCAGTAATAAAGGAGACTAGGACTGAAAAACGCTTAGAAAAAAGAAATAAGAAGGATAATTAACAGTGCATTTTCAATGGCAATTTTCAGCTTCTGATTGGCTCTTGTTCTCACTGATAAACCAGCACAGTTATATCAAAATAGAACATCACATAGTGTTCATTGTACTTCAGTATGCTTATAGAGGCTAAAAAAATTGAAATAGCTCTCCGCCTGAGACTTCAGAAAAAGTCTGATAGGCCTGATTTCCTGGGCCTGACCTCGGTGTAGAGTTTTCTTAGACTGATAAAGAATGCACTCAGATAATGTTTTTTTCTTCTTTTAAATTCTACTTGGAAGGATACCTAGAGTATTTTAATACATGTTCACTTTGTTTTCTCTATTATTACTCACTACTTTAATTTGTGACCCTTATATTTAGTTACCTATATTTAGAGCAAATATAAGAATGATGTACAGTCACTAAAAGCAGTTGAGTTACTGCAGTTTAGTGAGATACTCCTCCTCTGAGTCCCTGATTGAACACAAATTTATAATCCACCCAAATGTGAAATAAAAGCCTCCATGGAAGGCTATCTATTTCTGCAAAATACAATCTTTTTTTTGCATCTGATTTGTGACACAATTATTTTCTAAGAACTCCCACTATCTCAAAAATAGTAATAATTGGTAAGTAAGAACAGAAGTAGTAATATTAGAATTTATTGCTGTCTAAGATCACACAAAATTTATATTTTTCTGTAAAAAGGAATAAAAGGACTTAAAAACAGCCATAGCACTCCAGTCTAAAAGGCTGACTAGTCCAGTATCCTTTCTCCAGCAGGTCTGTAGGCAGATGCTCCAGGAAAAAAGAAAAAAAAAAAGTGGGCAAACTGCATATCTGCTACATACTTTCCTCTAATACTCCCCCAGCATCCAGCTCAGGAGACTTCTTGAGCTGAATGCGGGCTCTGTGTATCTGGTAATCCATAATGGATTTCTGTTCCATGAGTTTGTTCATTCTCCCCTAGAAGCTATGTTAACTTTGGCATCCACAGTATTCTCAGCACCCACACCATAAACTAGGTTATAAAAAGCTTTCAATACAAGCCAGTGTCTATTGGTGTCTTCTTATTGGAGGAGAAGATGAAAACAGTTAACAAGATGAAAATTCTAGGAGTGCCATGGTTCTTTGTGTAGAAATAATAAAGTTTTAATTCTCTGTCAGTTTCTCGGCTGTGAGTACACGCTAAATTGAGTTGCTAATTATCCTTTCGTGGGCACTCAAAATGCTGTTGCCAGTTCTTATGAAGATACTGAAGTATCATTATAGTCAGTGTTTTCCTGGCGGTACAGATTAACAGAGTCACGTGGGAGTTCTTGCTTGCATTATAAAAGGAGAACAAAGTGATCCTTAATGGATGTGACCAAGTCTTGTAGAAGTGAATACTAAAGAATGAAAAACACAGAGAAAACCCTAGGAGTTTTATATTATAATCCCGAGTGAGCCCTGGAAAAGTCCAGATTGCAGTGAATTCAAATTCAAAACTCCATTGCTGAAAGATGAGGCTAAAATTTTATCTGTTTTTCTCAAATGCTAATTATTTCAGTGCTAATAAGTAGTTGATAGTGCTGACCAGTAAGGAATCAGCTTCTGAACTTGCTGGAACAGATGGCAGAGCCATCCGTTGTGGTGGATGGCTCCAGAAAAGTAGGAACACAGGCTTAGCTCTATTTTTATCAAATGTATGCCATTTTACTAGGAAGAAGATAGTTTACTGCATCGTTTCCTGATGTAGTGGTGGAAGGAATCAGATGGGGGAAAGTCTGCTGGAACTTGTATGGAATTCTTGAAAAAATTTGCTTTTGCAGAACCCATTCACTGTGTGAGGATGCATCTTCAGAACTGCAGAGAGTCATTTCGGTGGAAGGAAGACATCTGTCTGAATCCCAGACGAGCTCATTCAAAGGCAGGGGAGCAATGGCAAGGTAACGTGCTAATAGCATTTCCAGTATTAAGTTTAAATTGTTGAAAGAGACTGATTACAATTTGGAGGCAAAGTAAGAAGCACCATCACTTTCCAAAGAAAACAGATAGAGTCCAGCTGAAAAGAGTCTATAAAAACTAACAGAAGCTGCTTTTGACCTTGATTATGAGCTCATTGCTTACTCATTGCTAACAAATACCTTAGAATCCTAGAGATGCTGAATGAGCTGACACAAATTAGTCTGAATAAAAAGAAAATATTTTACGTGATCAGATCTGAAAATATATTGAATGCTGAGGAAATGCATTAAGTGATTCCAGACTGTAAAGTAAGTGAATAAGTGTTTGGTTCTGGCTTATAGCTGATATAAAATGAGTGTTTCCTATAAAATAAGACATAATGATTTTTTCCCTTTTTGGTAGATGACTCTGACAAGGGACGGACATGGGCTCTCGTGTTGGGAGTGCAAGAATTTCTCTCGGTTTTTAGAATCCAGTTATGTTTATTATAATGGATTGGGAGCCTTAATCAGCAAAATTCAACTCAACCATTTGCTTAAGTAATTTACTTTACCGGGACCTAAGCAAAAACCTGAAGTGGAGCTTCAAAAACTTACTGTGTCTGCTTTAAATATTTCCAGCTGAGAGTACAGATCTCTGTCTTCAGATACCATTGTTATACACAATGCAGACCATACTCGGTTTAAAGATAGTGTATTTCAAAGAGCAAAGAGAACAATTATTATAAAACTAGAGTCATTTAAAGAGTGTTGGTAACACTTCAGCCTTTTGGATGGTGCAGAATATGCTTGTATTTCCCTGTTTGGTTGTCAGATAGTGACACATCACTGCGTGTAGATTACAAAGTCTGCACAAAGTTGGTTTGAGGTGGGAAACATTTATGGGTGTGTGTTTTGTGTAAACATAAAGCACATGAATATATACACTCATATTGAGAACTTCCTTTTAAATCTTTGCTTATATTGTTCTTTACCCTTTTCCAGGATAGTTTGAATTATACATGTGTGTAGCTACAGTTACTTATGCTCTGAGTATACAAGGAAGCCTGTGATGAAAACGTGAATGCTTAGCAGTTTAAATATGGTAACATAACATGCCTGTTGCATGCAAATTCTCAAGGACCTAAGACAACAGCATCTGATGGACTTCACTGAGTATTTGCGTATCGATATGTAAAGGATGCAAATGTGAAAACAATATAGCATGTCAGAAGTCAGAAAATTATATTTCTTTGTTCGAATAGAGAGGCTCTCAATCTTATTTGGTAAAATCTGTTTGCTCCTTAACTAACAGGTCTCATAAGAATGCCTTATTTTCTAATGTAAGTAAGAACATCCGTATAAGTAGTTTTCCATACCACTCCTTATGTGAAAGCTGAGTTCTGCTCAGGCAAAGTGAAAAATTCTGTAGCTTAATTTTATGCAGCGTTTTTTCAATAGAGCGGGGAATCTATTAAATAATCTCAGACTTTTATGGGGAGCTTTTCTTTTGCATTCTTGGTAGGCTTTGGATACTCTTAATTGTTGTAAATTGTAGGTGATTTATATGGTGCTATCTTGGTAAAATGCTAAAAACCTAGAAATATCTTTTTCTAATTTCCAATGTGATATTATTCCTGCCTTTTTTGTCCTTTTTATTTCAGGGTAGGAGAACCTGGGCAAGATCTATGAGGAGGTGTAGTTAGGCCCTTGAGAATTGCAATCAAGAGGCAGATGTACTTTACCATAAGACTTAATTTTTTCATATCAACCTCTCTGTGGATTCTGAGCATATGTAATACTAGCCGATGCAGAGAGAATGTAAAGAGCTTTCCTTGAGTAGCCCAAGGTCTCTGTAAGAAGTAAGCATTGTTCAGGATTTCATTATTTTGTTTTGAGGCCAAGTTTGGGAAACCAGAATTAACATGACTTTTGTCTAAACTAGGCTGATGATACAAAATAATACAGTACATTGTGTGCATAATAAATATAATCACTTTTCTAGGTTTAAGTCTCCATTATTTTCAATTTTTCAGTAACGTTTCCTTTTGAGCTTTGACGGAAAACATTGTAAAGGATTCGTAATGTAAAATAGTGGGTAGAGGAAAAGATACATAATGATACAGTAATAAGTAAATTACATTGTCCTGAATTTTTGCTTATCTCATTTTAGTGCTCTGCTATAAATTTAAGATGAGGAAATAGGGCTTCCACTGCTGTAGGCAGGTTTATATGTGATAGGCAATTATTATGTCTGCAGACAGACCTTTTAAAATCACAGGGAAAGTGGCTGAATTTTTATAATTCCATATTTCAAAGCCCATCCTCCCTCACCAGCTATTCAGCTTTTGTTTCCACTGTGTGTACCAGCCATTGAGCATGTGATCCTGTGAGTATTTGATATCTCCTACTTCTGTCAGTCCAGGATTCCCCCATTATCACATGATGTCAGAAGTTTGTCAGAAGTCAACTGCCCCACCCCAACCACTTGTTTTACCCCCTCTTGGCAAGAATATTCTTCTGTTGCTCTTGCAGTGCAGGTACGGTGCACTAGGAACCGATACGTGAGATACATTCCTATCTACTGCAAGAGGTGAGATCGTGCGAAGTGACTGGGTTCATGCAGTTAATCTATCAAGTTTAATTTAATGGCAGATGGAGATGTGGAGAAAGATCCTCCCGGGCTGCTCTTTGTGGGGATGGTTTAAGCCACCTGCTGTTCTTGTCTGGTTCAGTCAATGTTGTATTTCTGTTCCATGCAGACTATCACGATTTGTCGTATCTCTGAGGTCATGGGCCACAAGACATTTGCACCATGAAGACCAAAGACCTGATTCTTTCCTAGAACGTATCCGAGGGCCAGAGCTCATAGAGGTGTCCAGTAGGCAAAGTAACATCCGCTCCTTTCTGGGTATCCGTGAGCAGCCTGGGGGAGTAAACAGGTAAGAAGACAACTGAGGTTATGGTGTTTTGTTGGTGATTAGGATGTAAGTTTTATTTTAAGAAGAGGGTAAGGAGCTTAGCATGGGAGATGAACAGAGTATCTAATGCTGGCCAGGAGTCTTCAAATACCTGAAGTATTATGGCTTTCAGCAGACTTTATTTTTCCCCCTGAAGTGCACTGTGGCAAAGATCTTGAAGTAAAGGATTTTGATCATGCTGCTTCAGGCAAGATGGTTTCTCAGAACTGGAATTCTATTGTATGCTACCTGTGCAACCTCATATTACTAAACTCCTCTCTACTGAGGATGAATGCAATTTCTGTTCCAAGAATATAGGATGTTGCTACTTGTGGCTTTTCAGAACATTAATGTTATGCAGATTATCTGCGACTGTTAGGAAACTCCAAACAAGCATTTATGCAAAATGTGTCATTACTTTGTTACACCTACTCAGGAGTTCAGCTGCTAGCATTATAGAAGGCTTCTGATGCAGAAATGAGAAAATCTTTTGGATGCTGACTTATATCCTCAGTCTTTGGTATGGAAGGTGGATTCAGTCTTATCTTTAAATTTTTCAGATAAAATAACAGAGGCTTGCAAGAGAAACCTATATGTGTTTACAGTCTTTTGACTTGATGAATTTTGATTATGTTATAAATATATGATACAGTGTTTTAAATTTTACTCCAGCTAAAAGAGGGAAATTAAATCCCAAGACAAAAGTTGACTTTCTGTTTGGCGTTATGCTTTGAAGCAGACTCCCTTATTTTTTTGCATAGTTTAGGATTGGTAGGTAAGCAAGTAATAAGTTGTTTAAAAATCTCGGGTAGTAATTCAGATTAAAGCAAGAACCTTTGAAGGGCTGATCATGATACAGGTTACCTTGATTTGTTGTGGTCCAGCACAGCCTTATTGTTTTCACTTGATCTACTCCTTAGAAATTCAGCTCAAAAGCACATTTTGTTGAATTAGCCAGACTGTTGGCTGATACAGTAGCAGCTGCAGATTCGAAGTAATTAGAGAGGGCAACTTGATCCTGGGCCAACAAACCTCTATATAAGGCTATTAGAATAAGTGAATTTGGGGGTATCCATCCTTGTCTTCTCAGTTTTACACTGCTGCCATGTGACCATAACTCCCAGTTGTTCTACCCTGAAGGCTTAACTCCACAGCACTGGTAGGTGTGCTTGTTACTTATCCACAAGCCTTGGCACCGCACCTGTAGAGAAGACTTGAAAGGATTGAAGAAAGCTTAAAATAGTAGCCAAATGAGTACAGGGCTAAAAATAGTGAGGTGCATGTTGCCATGCACTAGTATGTTGCCATGCACTAATACGCCTGAGAACAAGCTTCGGACATCAAATGCGGTCCCAAGTGTGTGTGCCAAGCTCATGGTAAAAAGAAACTGGTGCCTTGAAATAGTTACGCAAAGGGGCTTATTACTGCAGTCAAAGTTGACCTTCCTAATCTTATCAGTGCATATGTGAGAAGCTAGTAAGTCAGTCCCTCATGTCGGTAAACACGTGCATGAAATGCCAACAGTCTTTACACTCTTTAATGTGTTTTATTTAACTTGTTGCAGTCACTGGCCCTTGGCCAGGTTTAATGTCAACTATAGCAACAACACCAATGAAGAGTAAGTACTGATAACTTCCAAACAGCTTTCTACTACTAGCTCCTTCTCCTTTTCCCTTTCTAGCATAGTACATTTGTAGTATAAACTCCTTATCTTTTCATAAGCCTTTCCTAAGAATATAGTTTAATAAAATTAGATCTTTCATTATAATTAGTATGAAAAGCATCCTTCATGCTCCCTGTGAACTTCTTTTTGTCTGAAGTTACCCTTACCGCTCAAGGAGTGAATTGGATTAAGCTTTTAGTCCCTACCTCCTCTAGTTCAGCTGGCTGATTTTACTGCATTGCAAATTGATTTATTAATTCTTCAGGTTTTTTTTCTAATAGTGATTTTCCTCTTCTAACATCCTAGTCCCTTTTTGCAAATCAAGTGCCCCAAAAATTTCATGTTGTCAAATGAGAAGTGGCTACTGATTAGGGTACCAAGAAAACACTTGTGTGGAGTCTAAATGAAAACTAACCATCTTTTTAAAACATGTTTTAGTTCAGCAAAATGTAGGTGTAGAGAGAGTGACAGGCAACATAATAAGGCTTGCATTGCCACAGAAGTTCTGACAGAAGCTGTCCTTTGGAGTCGGTTTTATATATTTGACAAGGTATTTCACAGTGTTACACCAAAGACAAATCTCTTGAAAAGGTGAAAAGTTCCTGTAGTTTAAATTCACCCAACGCCAATGTTTGCTGCATGTCTCAGACCACAGCTATCTGAGGGTGTATCTGCCCTATAGCATCCAGTAGCAGATCTGTTCTCATGCATGATGATAGGTTTTTTTTTCATTGTTTTCCAGATGAAAACAAAAACTAAAATAAAAAAGACAGTTTCTGATTATGTCAGAAATACATTTAGGAAACTCTTGATTTTTTTCTCCAAATAGTTCCATTATGGGTAAGCTCAAACTGTACATTTTAAATGATGCTGCAAAACCTTTGTGCACATACCTGAACAAGAGGTCTTCCTCCTCCTGAAGCAACTTTTTGGTTTGGTTTGCATAACTTTTATTGAAAAGGAAAATCAGTGTGCAGTGAACAGTGACAGAAATGTGCAGAATTTTATTTAGACTGGTATGAAAAAAGTGCTAAAAGCCTGGAGCCTAGCCTGCTAGTCAGGGCCCAAGGGACCGATTAGGATGGAAATACTGCTTTCTTACTCTGTTCCTGACAATGACTCATGTACCTTGGGCAAAACTTTCATCCTTCCAATGTTTCATCATTTTTAAATTAAGACAACACCCATCTGTCTACCTGCCTGACAGTCTGAAACATTCTTGATTTGCAAAGTACTTGACAGATGAGAAATGCAAATATTTGACTAATTCAAAGACTATGACACTGTTTTTATAGGGGCTGATGAAGACATGATTTCTAAGTCTGAAAATGCATGCTCCTTTTAATGTGCTGGAAACACAGAACAGATGCCACTGTATTGCTGTGAAAGAGGACAGGAACAAACAACAGTTTTATTAGTTACTGGATTCCAGTTTACTCAGTAGCACTGATAAAGAAAAAAAAGATGTAGATCGTTTTGAAACTTGGTGTTTTTCATTATGTTAAAGACCTATGAGTGCCTGCCCTTGGGGAACTGTACGTGATGCTTTAAAGTCTTTGATCATGGCCAACCTTTTCCTCTTGAGTGTCTTCCACCACCAGACTACAAGTAGGTGGGAGCACGGTAAGTTGGGAGTTACCACAACAGAGAGATGAACGGAGGATGACGGATGAGTTTGTAGGAGATCTCAGGCCAGTGAAAAAGAAGCATTGGCATTAGATGCTGGGTGAGATAGTGTTTTTTCTCTTTTTTAAAACAAAACATAGGAGGAAGTTGGGATTGTCAAAATATTCCCTCCCAAGTTTACCACCACTGAGACTTTTTGATTGATTCTCTATTTCAACCTGCTTTTCCCTGTGTAACAATATCCACAAATGTACAGTGGCCCTACTATATGAAAATGATGTTGCTCATAGTTCTTCCTTTCTGGTAAGAATGACAGACATTTGAAGTGTGGAGGAGCTATGTTAATGCTAACAACAGCAACTGTGAATTGGCCTTTAGATCAGGCACCATGCATAGTAATGTTCAGTGAAATTCTGGCATTTTTTTTAAATAGGAAGGAGTTTTAGGGGCAGATTTGAAAGAGAAGCCATGAAAGTTCAGGGGGGTCAGTGGCAGAAAAATGAATACTTGAGCAGCAGTTCCGACTGCCATGTAGAAATCAGCCTTGGTAAATGAAAAACTGTTTCTTTGAGTTGAGATAGATGCACATGTAAATAGAAGATGAGTTAGCCCAAAGGTTCTTTTCTGGTCCAGTTATGCTCCCTTGCAGTGTACAATTTTAAAGGTTTCAGTAGTGTTGGTCAGCTTGGTAGGTATTTGCCCAGACATGGAGGAGTGTAGGATCTCAGCATTATTTAACAAATGAGCTTGGGCTTTTCCAAATTACACTGTGGTGCTGCATCCCTATGGGAATGTCTAGGGGTGAGAATTGGAACAGGTGCTCATTGCTGGTAGGTGAAAGGCACTACTGTCCTAAAATTGGTGACTGTTGTCTTCTCCCTTAGAGTGCTTCTTTCTCCCTGTAACAAGCACATTCATAGACAGGACTGCCACTCACAGCGTAGACTTTTTCTCATCTGAGTGATGTGAGCAAGTATACATGAAAAGCACAAGTGAGCTCACTAAAACTTTTTACCTGTTGGTTCAAATCCTGTAAGCATCACTTTTCCGACTCTTATTGTGTATTGTCTTTGGTGTGGGATGTTGCTGTCATTGAACTAATTTGTCTCCTATTGACACCAGTCCAATGGGAGAATCAGACCCAGTCTTGGGACTTCGGAGGAGAACACGTAGCTCCCATGGGAGCAGGAGTCCATGGTAATACAAAACAGGGAGATCTCAGATGATGCATTTTCTGCTTGGGCAAATGAGTGCAGGTCTTCAGCTTACGTGACTCTTGAGCAATGCATGTAGCAAATTTAGCTCTAAGATTAAGCATTGACAGAATCTTAGGAAAGACGTTAACCTTCTGCAGTTTGAAGAAGATATGTGGGCCTGTCTATATCAGTTAACATAGCTCAAGACTCTTCTGTTCAGACAAACCTAAGAATGGGGGAAGTCAGATCCATCTTTATATCTGGCTTATCACATTCTAATGAGCTAAAGGCTGTGCATACTTGAACAGTGTGAAAATCTGTATCTGTTGTTAAATCTTGCAGCTTGGGTCTATGCTGGATACTATGCAATGGTAGGATATAATTATGTTTGATGGTCCATATTTTACTTTATTGCATGAAAAGCAATTAATAAACATGGGGACAATCATGATTCTCTTAAGTCTAGGCAAAATTCTCGTTGATTTTAACAAGGATGGAACTTCATGCTTAATGCTCAGCCTCTGAATACAGTGGCAATCGAATACAGGCAGAGGAGCTTAGGCATGGCTCCTCTGCGTGCACATAGACACCTGCATCCCAACTAGGCAATCCATTCTTCCTTTACAGTTGATGGAAAGAAGAAAAATGCTTTTGGGGCACAAGTCATCTTGTAAATATGGATTATGAGATATCGACTATCTTGTAGATACAGTAGATCTCCACTGTAGAGGTCTAAAATAGGTTGGCTTAATCATGTTGACTATAAAGCATTTATAAAATGACTATATATAGTTAAAAGAGACACACCTCTTCTCTCTACATTTGCTGCTTTTGTTCAACCATTGACTGGGATTCTTTCCCAAGGCAATTGTTGAAGCCAGAGGTAATAAATTAATTATAGTTATGTTGGTTTTAAAGAACTGTGAGAGGAAATTTAGCCTCATTTCATATTTACCTCATAATTACCATTAAAGCTTCAGTCACAGTGAGATTTTGGATATGCAAAGAATGTTGACAGTTTCTTAAGCCATTTCAAGTTCTATTAGCATTTGATAGATTTCTTTTTTAAATGGTTGAGTTCTAAAGAACGAAACAAACTGGAAGCATTCAGTTAAAATCAGCCTGGTACACTGATGTCTGAAAAGGTCAAGAAAACGTTGGTGACTAATGCACAGAATCAGCCAGCTGGTTACCTGATGTGATAGTGTGGCTCAAGAGGCCTCAGCCTGTAAACCATTTTTACCAGTCCGATCTCTGTCCTACTCTGGAGTCTAGTCTAGTTTCCTGTACCTCAACATCCACCTTCTCCCTTAACTGCTAGAATACTGGTAATATTGCTAAGCCTTACATTATGTTGTACAGCAAAAAGGAAGAAAAGAAAGAGGTTAAAGAGGAGAAAAAAGAGGAGAAAAAAGAGGAAAAGAAGGAGGAAAAGAAGGAGGAAAAGAAAGATGACAAAAAAGATGACAAAAAAGATGATAAAAAAAAGGAAGAGTAAGTATAAAGAATGAATGTGTGCTTGCAACACCCCTCCTACACTACAAAGCATGGTATGGCATTTCATCGTAACACTTCCACAACAATTACTGTTCTGTAGGCTGTGGAATGTTAGTCTGTCAAATCTTGAATATGTTTTCCCCTTTGGAAAGGTGCAACTGCTCAGTAAGAGGGAATTCAGCTGCCTCTGGGCACTTTGATTTGCTGTTGAAGATCACTTTTTTACTATGAGGACATTTCAGGATAGCAGCCTGCACAGGCTTTCCATTGTTCCAGAATGTCCATAATGATTCAGAGCAGATGAACCAAAATCCTGCTTTGGACAAAGGGCAAAAATCTTACATGTAGAAAATTACATATTTACTAATAAGTTTAGTTATTACACTGACTGACATATTTAATGACTTAATATGGTGCAGTTCATTCCTAGTGAAGTTTGCTTCTGCTGATTAGGTGATGCTGTATTTGTGCAACAAAATAAGATCATTTGAATGCTTTTGACAGAAATGGATCCTGCTCTTGTTTTGTTCTCCTAAAGCTGTTCCAAGCATAGTACAACTTAATATTATCAGGCAATAAAAACAACAATGATAGCAGATAAAAAGAGAATGCATTTGAGTGGACTTCACAGTTAAGGAGTGTGTTAGAGTAATATACTGCAAGTTTATATGTGTATGTATCTGGTGGCATGTGCTATGTAGGCATGGGAACATGTAGTTAGGAATCTCTTCCAAATGGAATCTGCTTGATCTCAAGATCTTGACTTTCTTAATCAGAGCTTTGTTTGATTAGAAAGCCTTTGTTCTAAGGATTCTTTTCAGCTTCAATTACTATCTAGTGGGAGCCTGAGCTCTGCAGCAGCCTAAAGCATTTTAAAGCATTTCAGCAAAGCTTTATCAGGGAGTGTAGTGATAGGACAAGGGGTAAAGGGTATAAGCTGAAAGAGGGTAGATTTAGACAAGACATTAGGAAGAAATTTTTCACTGTGAGGGTGGTGAGGCACTGGCACAGGTTGCCCAGAGAAGCTGTGGATGCCCCATCCCTGGAGGTGTTCAAGGCCAGGCTGGATGAGGCTTTGAGCAACCTGGTCTAGTGGAGGGTGTCCCTGCCCATGGCAGGGGGGTTGGAACTTGATGATCTTTAAGGTCCTTTCCAACCCAAACCATTCTATGATTCTATGAAAGAAAAGAAATGTTTTAATGTCTAGAAGGTAGCATACTTTGTTGTATGAAGACCATATTTAATGGTCACCAGTTTTGAGGTGGTGACCAGTTTTTTAGAGGAAATGGCTCAAAACCTGTTATGAAGATGGCAAAGGAAGTACTTCAAGCTGCTTCCTTTACTGACATTACCATCTGGACATCCAGCTGACAGCAGGGATAATGACAAAAATACACACAAATATGAAATAAATTATCATTAAATTTTAATATATTTATATTATTAGAGATTAGGGAAAGTCACACAAATATATATCCAAGCATTGCCTGGTCATATTTTCCTCACACTATTATACAATTCACACTGTCACGTTACTGTTGGAGTAACTTCTGTGGCTGTGGACCTCACAATCCACTAATAGGTATTTCCTCTGATTACATACAACATGCTTAATTGCTGTCTGTTCCATATCAACCTTCCTTGTGCTGGGGAAGGGCACTTCTGAGCATACTCTACATGTGCCATTAGCCATGCTATTTTTTAAATCTTCTTTAAATTGCAGGCCTGTATGCTTCATTTAGCATCTCTCGTTGTGAAGCCCAGGGAGCCAGGACTGGGAATGTGTGAAATGTGCTTTTACATAATAATGCATACATATTTACAGCATACATACAATTTACATAATAATACCTGTTTTAGTTCTAGTCACGCACTATATGTGTCTGTGCACACACAGAGTCTTACTTGTGTATTTATGTATTTGAATAAATATGTTTTTTACTTGTGTAAATGCTTGCTCATACAGTCATTTTCATAATAGGATTTGTCAAAAACATAAAAATTAATCTGTAAAGGAAGGTTCTTTCTCTAGCAATGGACCATAGCCTTCTAGCTGGGATGATAGTATGAAACATTTAACATTTTACTTTTTTTCAGTGGGGGTCATATGCAGAAAGGCTGTGTTTTTCAGCATGAGCAATGTGAATGTTTGTGTTTTTCTTCCCACTCTTCATTTTTCCAAAATTGGGTCAAGCAAATAGGATAAAGCTAATATTTGGTATCTCATCTGGAGCTGCCTGCATGGATACTTTCTCTTCTTAGGCAGCTCTGAGTTCATCATGAGATGAGCAGCCTCCGGAAGAGGAAGATCCAGCAGGTCACTTCATTATATTTCTAGTGTAAATCAGCACGTTTTCCTTTCCAGGAAGAAAAAAGAGATCTTTGTGATAGATCCTTCAAGCAATATTTACTACAACTGGCTGACCATAATTGCAGCACCCGTGTTTTATAACTGGTGTATGCTAGTGTGCAGGTATGGATTTAAGTTAATAATAATTTTAGGTTTCAAATTTAGTGTCTGGTTATGTTTCCTATGTAAATTATCCTCTTATCTCTCCACGGTATTTTTTTAGGTGGCTTACCTAGAATATTTACAGTTCATATACCCTTAGAGATACACGATATACATACCACTGGGAATAGAGGGCCAATGTTGCTTTTTATCTTTTTGTATGTGGCCTTTGTGTGCCACCTACTGGCTAGCTGCAGAGATGTGCCTTGGCTCAGTAACCACTGCTAGAGAGAGGTCTTCTGGTCACCCAGTAGAGAACAGAAGGGAGGGGTGTGGGCAGTGTTGGGTCATCTTAAATTAATATCATGCATCTATAGATGCTTGAAGGGCAAGAGGATTTTACTCGAGTATTTATTTTCCATTGTAAAATGTGGAAATCAGATTGAGTCAAAGTAATGGAGTGCTGTGGAAATGGTTCACTTAGGCTGTGTCAGATAGCAGGGAGAGACAAGGATGGCTTGCCACTCAGAAACAAATCTTTTGCTTGGGAATTATCTTAATGGACATGTGTATCCCATGAAATCTGGTGCATATTTAATTGTAGGGATATGTGTATTCCTCCATAAGTGCACTTGTGTGGCATATATGTGTTTGGGTTTTGCTCCTGGCTTAAACACCTTAGAATTCTGAAAGATCCTAGTGTTTGTTTAGATATAGTAGCTCTAGTGTGCAGATGTCTTGGCATGGAGATAAGCTGCCCTTAATTTTTCAGTGACAGTAATGTGCACTAACTTGCTGCTAGGACACACATTGCAAGTACTCTGCTTATGCAGTTGGTGTAATTTTTTTTTATTAATTTTTTTCTTTAGAGCCTGCTTTGATGAGCTACAAGTTGACCATATCAAATTATGGCTGTTCTTGGATTATGGCTCGGATATCATCTATATTCTTGACATGTTTGTCAGATTCAGGACAGGTGAGTCTTTCTGGGCTTTTACAGTGTTTTTAAATACAGCATGGATATAAAGGCTGGAAACAGAAATTCCCCTGCAGGGTCTGACCAGTATAGTATCCTGTCTCTAGCAGAACCCAGCAATGGAGGCTTTGGGAAGATGAAGTATCTGACCAGCTTGGATTGTTTTAAGGCTGGATATCCCAACACCTGCACTTTACTTGTCTCTAAATTCAGTTCTATCGGTGCTTAAAAGGCATGTCAGACACTGACTGAATCGCCACTGTAACAGGCTGTGTGGGGAAGGGAGAATAAGGTACTTTGCACGTCATGATCACTCTGTGCATGATGTATTGCTTGTGCTCATTAGAGTGGGCAAGGAACCAGCTGCACAGTGGTTTCAGCTTCCCATCCCTGTTTCCGTAGACCAGATAGGCTGAGACGATTCCACCTTTGAGTGTGCCCAGCTGACAAAGATTCTAGCCTCAGAGGGATATCTGTTTTTAACTAAACAAGGTCATAATATAGGCCTAAGCAATGACATACAGTGATCCATACCATTAAATTGCTAGAATAGTCCTTGATGTACTTTGGTGCATGTACTTTGGCCTGTGTGAGCTAGCACTCACTCTCTCAAACAGTGTCTAGGCACAGCTAGGTGGACAGCAGAGGTTGGGTGTTTTTTATGGTGTCATTAGGGGGCTGGGGGAACTTAACCTGTGACTAGAAGCTCTCATGGTAGCTCATCTCTGTGCCAGAAAATGTTTCCTGGCTTGCTCTATTTACTGGTATGGACACAGCCCCAAAATGACCCTTGAAAGGGTCCAAAACGGAACTGATCATTATAAAAATGAGAGTTCTTTTACATCTTTGATTTTTACTTTTTTTTAAGATCATACTGACAGCTTGACATTAATTATGACTTGTGACAAGTTGTAAATATAATTACAAGACAGAGGCTAAGAACGTTGTCACTTTGAGAAGCACATAACTCATGGCAAGCCAAATTCTTAAACTTAGCAAATACCTTGTTCTACAGGAAAGTCTATTTTACGTAGCACCCTAAATCACAAGACTGACTTTTTTGGGGGGTGGGGTTATGGGGGGTAGGGTGTCCTTCATCTCTATGTAGTTAAAAAGTCAAACATGCCCACTAAATTTCTCTTCTGCAGTTATGTCTGTTATTGTAATGGGAAATAACTGAGCTGAAATTGGGCATGTACAGGCAATGCAAGTTCTAAAATTTTTAGGGCTGTCCTGATAATAATTGTACAGCTGTTAAAGCATGGTCAGAAGGCTGGCTTTGCAGGACTGGATTGGAACTGCAGAATTGCTGCAGAGATCTCCTGAATGCTTCAGTGCAGGTGTCTGCTGCAGCTTCAGGCACTCAAACATGGGAGCCGTATCTTTGAGGTCCTGAAATCTTTGTCAACTCACTTAACGTTGCCTGGCTCTGGTAGTGCCTGCTGCCTTCTGTAAGTCTGCAAGGTCCATCTGCCCTGGGGACAGAGGTCTTGGAAGGCTTTGGGAAGGAGTGTGACCCCTTTCTATATAAAGGCAGGGACTGGCTACAAACTGGGATCTAGGTAGTCCTGCAACTACCATGATCCATGGCAGCTTCTTTGTGGCACACTACTTTTTATCTGCAGGGCCTGTGTCACTGTATTTCATCTATTTAGTGACTGTGTGCTGCACAGAAAAGATTTACAGCTCTCAGCAGCTGGTCATGTTTAGCATACCCCATGTTTTGATGCTTTCAAAAGGCTTTGTAGAACTCCAGTTCTGTGGGAGGACAAAAAAGAGCAGAGGGGCTTTTTTCTCCTTTCAGTAGGAAGGTGTTTTGAAAGTTATTTTTAATAATTGTGAGTCAGAAATTCAGTTTCCTGGACAACTTTTCTGATTAGATGCATAGCACTGTTAATAAGGGCATATTTGACCAACTCTTTCAGCAGTTTTCTGGGAGGTAACACATTCATGGCATAGGAACGACTTCCATTTGTGGTCGCCATCAGTTTGCAGATACCCGAAGAGAGATACAGACATATACATGAGGCAGCTGTACAGATAAACACACATTCCAGAAATACAGCCATCCTGTGCAGGTCAGAAAGAAATGCAGCTTGGTCTTCCTCAGCAGATGCTTTCCTGAGAGAGATGCTGTTTGTAGATGGTTAAGGGATTAGCAAAATGTTATAATCTCTGATACACAGGGAATGTTTTGCTTTTCTCTCAGTGGACTTTTCCTCCTGACTGGCATAGTGGGCAAACAGCTGGACATCTCCACTTGCAGTTGCAGCAAGTATTTTGCAGTGCACAGGCTGTTCCCTCTGGAACATTTTCAATGCCTTGAGCTTTCAGAGTTACAAAACAGCACTGCAGCTATACTCCTCAGGCAGCCTTTCTATGGGAACTCTTACACTGATGATGCAGATTGCTTTAAGGTCTCTTACCATGGTTTATGTCTTGTCATAATTTTTAAATCTAATACTTTCCAAAGTGTTTTGAATGAAGAAATACAAATATACAAAATTCTGCTTAGTAGCTCTCGTGAGAAGCACAAAAAAGTGCAAATCATTTTCCCCAAATGAAAAGGAAAACCCTGTCAGCTTTAACATGGGACACAGGAAGAAAACCATGGCTCAGGGAGGGGAAAAAAAAAACCCTAGATTTTATTATCTCAAGGGTATCTATATTGTTTGGAAAAAGTTTCCAACGAGCCATTATACCTACTTATTCTTATAATCAATTTAAAAATATTCCACTCCGATTTTATACACAATTGCTTAACTTTAGTTGTGACTCATGCAAATGATTCATGAAAAATGAGACATTCAAATTTCCCCTTTCATTTTGCAAAGATACCTAAAAGACAAAGATACAGCTCTCCCAGAATAGAGTGTAAGACTGCAGGGAGCACTGTGATAATAATAGAGTCATTGCTCGACATCATTGTATATCAGCTTTGAAACTTAATTGAAATGTTTAAATTTGCAATTAGATATTTTTCATTAAATTAACTTCATAGTGTATCAATGTCTGTATGCATAACAGTACAAGTTTCAAGGTTCTCAGGTATCTGAAATGTAAGTCATTCAGTAGTGTTGATGCCAATTGTGAACTGTGCTTTTATTCTAACAAGAAAATATGTATTTTTACTCTTTGAAGGCTTCCTTGAACAAGGCTTGCTAGTTCAGGATGAAAAGAAATTACGAGATCATTATACCAAAACGACGCAGTTCAAACTGGATGTGCTGTCTCTTCTGCCAACAGACCTGGCATATTTGAAGCTTGGTTTGAACTACCCTGAACTGCGATTTAACCGCTTGCTGAGGATTTCTCGGCTTTTTGAGTTTTTTGACCGTACAGAAACCAGGACAAATTATCCAAACATGTTTCGTATTGGAAATCTTGTCTTATACATTCTTATCATCATCCACTGGAACGCGTGTATATACTTTGCAATTTCAAAGCTCATTGGATTTGGAACCGACTCTTGGGTCTACCCCAATGTATCCATTCCAGAGTATGGGCGCCTGTCTAGAAAGTACATTTACAGTCTGTACTGGTCAACGCTCACGCTGACAACCATTGGAGAAACACCTCCACCAGTGAAAGATGAAGAGTATCTCTTTGTGGTCATTGACTTCCTGGTGGGTGTGCTGATCTTTGCTACCATTGTCGGTAACGTGGGCTCCATGATTTCCAACATGAATGCCTCCAGGGCAGAGTTCCAGGCCAAGGTTGACTCCATCAAACAGTACATGCATTTCCGAAAAGTGACTAAGGATTTGGAAGCCAGGGTTATTAAGTGGTTTGATTACCTCTGGACCAATAAGAAAACAGTGGATGAGAAGGAAGTTCTCAAAAATCTGCCTGACAAGTTGAAGGCTGAAATTGCCATCAATGTCCATTTGGACACACTAAAGAAAGTGCGTATATTCCAGGATTGCGAAGCTGGACTCCTTATTGAGCTGGTGTTGAAACTGAAACCTACGGTCTTCAGTCCTGGGGACTACATTTGCAAAAAGGGAGATATTGGGAGAGAAATGTACATTATTAAAGAGGGAAAATTGGCAGTGGTGGCAGATGATGGCATAACCCAATTTGTAGTCCTAAGTGATGGCAGCTACTTCGGTGAAATCAGCATCCTAAATATAAAAGGTAGCAAATCTGGCAACAGGAGGACAGCCAACATAAGGAGTATTGGTTATTCTGATTTGTTCTGCTTGTCTAAAGATGATTTAATGGAAGCCCTCACAGAATATCCAGAAGCCAAAAAGGCTCTGGAAGAGAAAGGGCGACAGATTCTGATGAAAGACAATTTAATAGATGAGGAAGCAGCAAAAGCAGGAGCTGACCCAAAAGACTTGGAGGAAAAAGTAGAAAGACTTGAAACAGCTCTGGATACGCTGCAGACTAGGTTTGCGAGGCTCTTGGCAGAATACACCTCATCTCAACAAAAGGTGAAGCAGAGACTTGCCAGAGTAGAAACCCGAGTGAAAAAATATGGTAGTGGCACCTTATCAGTTGGAGAAACAGAGGCTGAAAAACCTGAGGAGAAAAAGCAGTAATGGAGTATTTATATTTCCTCATTTATTGAAGAAGGGTGAAGCATGTGAAAGCCATAAATGTATGTAAATACGTGTGTCCATACATAGACATGATTATTTTTATATGAACTCTGGAGAATGGTTTTTAGTATTTTTAACTGAAGCAGTATTTTCTTGTAAATAGAACTTGGTCACCTTCTTCTTAGGGGGACATTTGGTCTGGCATTTGGGTACCTTTTTGTACTGGGAGGGAGTTTCTCACAAGTCATACTCAGCATGTCAGTGTATGGTATGTGTAGGTCTTGACACATTGTCTTTTTCTATGCATGTTGCATTACGAAGGCATTGTACTTAAAGTAGAAGGGATTGGGGTCTTTTCAAGGCCTTAAAAATATTTATAGGGTACATGCTCTACGTTGCTACCTTAGTAGCTGATGAAATGCATGGATGCACATCCGGGCTTCTCAAAATCTTTGTTCTTTCACAGTGTAGCATCTGTGCAAACAGACTACAGCTAAGCAGCAGCATGTACCTAGCCTATGCAGTGTAGCCCTGCACGTGTTATGAAGTAGCTGTGCATCCGGATGCTTTAGTCTGATTCTAATGAGCTGGGCTCTGCAGAAAGGAGTGTGCTGACAGAGCAGCAGCGCTCATTCAATCATACCTTTCTGGTATGGTCTGCGACAGCCTTTGCTGCTCTGTGACTGCTTTGCTGGAGGAGAGAGTGGGAGAGCCCCCCTTTCTTTTAGCCCATGCTGGTAAAACCCTCATGTGGAACGGAGTCCTCAAAAGCTCACTGGTGGAAGGCATCAATGACTTCACTAAACCTGGGAAGAGGAAAGAGGGCCCTGGGGTGTGCAGCTCCTCTATGTAGGGTCTTGAGCGAATCCGGCTCAGCAAGTGTGCAGTCCCAGAAGGAGGTTAGTAAGAAACTGCAGGAGCCGGCAGGACAGGCTGTCCCTGCCTGCCAGCCAGCTTTTTCCCCCAAGAGTTTCTGCAAGGCAGGGAGAACAAGCCCTATGTTGCAAAGTCATTCCTGCCACTAGGCCTATGTTTTCTTCCTCTTTATTTCATTTAATGATGCCTACTCCACCTCCCTTTGCTATTTACTGCCAGCTTTTTTCTAAGTAGTTGTTGCACTCCCGTGTTCCTGTTAGTTAGGGAGAATGAAGGCCTCATTTGCTCAGGTCCTGCTAATAGGAGCCTAGTTGTGCTGGTTGGCTGCTTTTCTGCTTGCTGCAGAGTAGTCGCTGCCAATGGTCTAGCTCTGGGGTGAGTACACAGGTCTGGTCCATGCAGTGTGCCCTGCCATTCAGGGCAGTATGGTACTGAGAAGGTTTCTTGCTCTGTCACGTTACAACCTCAGGATTTGCCTCTTTCTTACACACCCCTCTCAGCCTCCTCCACCCCCCTGCTTACAGTTTCTTTCCAGGCTTCTGTCCCTCCCACTGAGGGAATTTCTCTAATATTCCCCTGCTGGGAAGATACTAGCTTTCATTTTTTGCTCTACGGTATTTTTCTGTTGTGTAGCTTTCCCTGTGTTACTTTTTTTATCCTCCAGTACCTCACTGACTTCAGAAGAGTATGGAGTAGCAGAGGCTATTCAGCATCTCTGGCATGGGGGCTGGCTCCTCCAGCAGCATCAGGTATGACCATGGGCAGTGCTCTGCCTTTTAGTTGTCCTCAGCCCTGACTTAGGAGCCCTAACAGCATGCAGGACTTGCTGGCCTGTTGGAAACTTAGTGAGAAACCCACTGAGAAGAGAGTGGTTTAACTAGATGGTAGTGAAGTGAAAAGAGGTGGCTGCTCTGCTACAACTGAGTACAACGGCTCAGAGTAAGCACTCATCTCTGGGCAAGCAGCTGTCCCCCTCCTATTGGCACTTTTGAGCCTGGTGAGAGAGACAAATCTGACAGCGATTAAGGAATTGGGGCTGTGCCAGCAACAATGGCAAGGAGGCCACCTGGTAGTAGATGTCCACACATGGCCTGTGTCTGAACTGTTACCATCAGTCTAGGAGCCAGCTAGACTTAGGTATCTACTGTAGGCTGGACTTAACCTCTGTTATCAAGATTTCCACTGACTATAACAGGGGCTTTGGAAAGTAGCTGAGACCTATATGCAGCCAGCGGAATTTGTGAGTTTTGCTCCTTCAGATGAATCTTGTCCTTACTTTCTCCAAGGGCTTGAGACAAGAGAGGCTGCTGGTGGCAGGGGTCCAGTGCCCTCACTGAGGAAGGCAGGGCTGAGGTGGAGCGGGGTGTTGGGTGGTGGCCGTGTACCACTGTGAGCACAGACTGCTGAACTTGCTGAACTCTCACCTTGTAACAGAGGCAGGCACCGCACTCGTCTGGGGCCCTGATGTTCACTGTTGTGTTGTTATCCAAACACCATATCTGGTATGGCTTTCATACTTATCATCATGGTCTACATCAGTCATCATTCTCTGTAAATATTTAACTATCATCTACCCAGCATACCACAGATGTTCCAGCCTACTAGGTATATACAAATAGAACTGTTTAAAGTACTGTTTGCATTAAATTTATACCTGTTAAAAACAAAAACCAAAAAAAAAAAAACCCAAACAAACACACCACCACACAAATGCAAGAATGCTTCTTTTCTTGATGGATCATAACAGCTTAATCTATCAGTTAAATACATTTGCTCTTCCCTTTCCCATGTCTCTTGGTCTGGTTTTCATGTGCCAGAAAAAAAGCTATTTTGATGGTATTGGTTTCAGTCACTTTGGAATATAGAGCTTTTGGCATGATGAAAGCACATCCTTGATGAAACCCTCCACCATCTCTGTAAGATGTTTTTCACCTTCTTTAATGATGTGGCTACAGCATGTACATTAAAATATTCTGAGTAACGGTCAAGCAGCTCTGTATGTTCTCTTATCTGTATCCCCCTGGATTTTAGCATTTCATGACAGAATTTGATAATGCCAATAAATATTACATGGTCCAGAAAATCATTAGCTGGAACAGAAACCTGAAGTGGGAATGGCAGTGTTCTCCCCTTACCGCAGGGCAGCTGACACACGGCTCTGGTCCTGTGCCCAGTTTTGACACCATCACTGTGTTTGCAGATACCGGAGGCAGAAGAGCCTGACCACTGCCCTGCTTCCCCAGCAGGGCCAGGCCTCATGGGGCACAGAGCCTGCCGGGCTCCTCCTGTCGCTGCCACCCGTCTCCTGTCCTCCCCTTCCCCAGGCAGGGCAGTGTAACGGGCATGGTGCCACGTCCAGCAGAAATAAAAGTGCAGCTTTCTGCTACTTGCACAAATGTCACCTATTCAAAAGCAAAGCACTGGAGAGTGGTACGGGCTCATCTTCGACCCCACCACGGGAGAAAGCAAGGAACGGGACAACAGTTGAACATATACCCTGAATTTGAAAACAGGGGTTTAAGGGCCACAGCGCTCACTTCACACAGGTACAGGAGCCAACCCATGCCAAAGCAGGTGCCCATGGGGTGGTAGTGTTGCAAGGACCGAGGCTCAAGGCACATCTGAACATCTCCTGCAGGTGCAAAAGGAGGGTAAAGCTGGTGGAGCAGCATCACCATGCTCCAGGTGCTGCTTGGAGTGCACTTTTCCAGGAAAAAGGCCTTGAGCCACAGGCTCTGCTCCCAAACAGCAAATGATTCAAGCCTTGCTGCTCTCCAAAGCGCTTTCAGTAGCAGCATCCCCTCTTTTTCCTCTCGTCTCCTACTCTTATTTTACTTAAACAGTTTTTACAGTAGAAGGCTCTGCTCTGGAAAAATTCAATGAACTGAATTGTACAAGAGAAAGAGTGGTGACAGCACAACAGCGTGTGTATGTGTACAGAGCCCCTCGCACACAGCCAAGGCCTGGGGGTGAGCATGACGGTACAGCTCTTTCTGCAGACACAACCCAGGGAAGGAATAACTCCTGCATTTAATTCTTTAGTTCTTAGGCATCTGCATTGAAGTTTTATTCATGTCAAATATTTTATTAACCTACAAGCAGAGAAGGCTCTGCTTTAGATGAAGAAACAAACTTAATTTTGCTTTCCCCCACAAAAGCGTTGGTACTTTCTCTGAGCTAGTCCGTACATTGCTGGTTGGGGAGACACATTCATTTCTGTATCGCTGCTGCCGGCAAGGATGAGAGGTTTCAAAAGCCAAACCTAGTCCAGGTTGTCCAATGAGATAACGCAGGAGAGCTGCTCTCTAGCCTGAAGATTTGTACTTGGCTTCAAAGTGCCTCTGCTCTTCCATTAATGTTTCCATCCTGGAACAGACAGAAAGAATCAAACCCTTGTTTACATAATTCAGCATTCATAAAAACCCTTTGTGTATCCCTGAGAGCAAAATGCATTATGCATTAAATGGATCTGGCAACTGTACAGGCAGCTAAAGCACAAGATTTCAGCTGTGGCAGCATTCCTGAGGGAGGCCATCAGTTTGGGAATCCCCCTCTTCCCCCAGCCCCATCCGCAGTACAGAGCCCAAGGAGGAGGATGCTGCCTGGGGACTCCCTATGGAGAGTGAGGAAGCCCCTCTCCCTTCCCTTCTGCCTCAAGCAGAGGCGGAGGGAAACACCTGCAAGCCCTGTGTCTAAAAACGGTCAGGCCTTTTGTTTCTGAAATTCAGATTTTGCATCCCTTTTCCAGCTCAGAAATCAAAGGCTGAGGCTTGCCGCTGCCAGCTGCCCTCGCAGCTTCACTGTGGAAAGTAAACCTCTGCCGTTTGGTGTTTGCAGTCCTCCTTACTGCCACACACGAAGAGCGGAATAAGGTGGGAAGGGAAGACTTGCATTATTTAAACAAAATCGGCTTCTGTGACTTCAAGAGGAGGAGTGCAGGGTATCCTCAGCTTCAAGGATGAACACAAACATTAGCTTTGCTCCAGAAGCAGCAGTTCTCACAAAGGGATTTTTTTCATCAGCTTTACCACTTCTGCTTGGCTTCTGTGGGGAGAGCACAGGATGCCGTGCCAATGGCTACAGCTGTCCTCCCAAGAGGCCGAGGAGGACACCGTCCAGCTCTGACAGAGACCTGTCTTATTTGTATAGGTAAATTGGGGGTTGGTCACTAAACCCAGAAGCGCAGAAACTCCTTTCAAGGAGTTTATTAATGGTTGTTCTTCCATCTTTCCTTCCTTCATGCTCGTAGTGGCTGCTATCAACCTTTCTGTAACAGGGCAACTGAAGAACAGTAATGTGGAAAACTGGGAAGGCACAACTGTATTCCAGACTGATGGGCAGCTTTGGTTATTAATGTCCCAGCTTTTCACCTGCTTTGACTTGTCATTCCTGACAGTTTCCCATCAAGAAAAAAATCCCCATTCTGTTCTTATGCCAACAGTTATTTTCCCCAAGCCCCCTGGAAGGGGAGA